AATCTTTTATAGTTCTGATTAAAGGTGTATCTATCTACACTGGAAAATTAATGCAGCTTGGCACTACTTTAACTGCCATGGCTTAATGCTATGGAGTCCCTGGAGTTGTAGTTTTACAAGGTTTTTAGCCTTCTCTGCTGAAGTGGTCTAGTGTTCTCAGCAAACTACAACTCCTAGGATTTCACAGCACTCAGCCATGGAAATTAAAAGTGTCAAACGGCATTAATTCTACCCTAAATGTACTAGAATACTGAAATTTTGCACATTTTGTGGCATTTTCATTGGTGCTAATGAAAGTTCAGATTAATTTATGAACGCTCCATGATTTATCTTAGAGCCAAGGCAGCCAGTGGCATCAACACCAACATCATCATTTTATTGAATATATTTGGGGCTTTCCTTTCCATCCACTATGCTTTGCAATATTGCTATGTTGCTGTTGTTGTTGTTCATTCATTCAGTCGTTTCCAACTCTTTGTGACCTTATGGACCAGCCCACGGCAGAGCTCCCTGTCGGCCGTCACCACCCCCAGCTCCTTCAAGGTCATGCCATTCACTTCAAGGATGCCATCCATTCATCTTGCCCTTGGTCGGCCCCTCTTCCTTTTTTCCTTCCATTTTCCCCAGCTTTCCTTTCTTCTCATGATGTGGCCAAAGTACTTCATCTTCACTTCTAATATCCTTCACCCTCCAATGAGCAGCTGGGCTTTATTTCCTGAAGGATGGACTGGTTGGATCTTCTCGCTGTCCAAGGCATTCTCAGAACTTTCCTCCAGCACCACAGTTCAAAAGCATCTCTCTTCCTTTGCTCAGCCTTCCCTAAGGTCCAGCTCTCACATCCATAGGTGACTGTTCCATCTTCCAGGAGCATGGTTTACGTTGCCTTTTAGCTGCATGGGATAGCATTCCTTTGCATTTCCCCAGGGTTGCTACAGACCCAGCAGCACCCTGGAAGTTAAACAGTATCAGAGTCTGGAAAGCCAGGCTGCAGGCCCTCTGCAGTTATTGGTTTAGAAAGTATCTCTTTGGGTCTAGAGACCGCCCTTTTTCCTGGGGTTAAGATCTCCATTTTGGAATCTCCCCTGCCTCCTTCAGTAGAGAAAAATCCTCAGATGTGCTGTTGGTCAGGCAGGTAGCTCTGAAAAAACCATTGTGAGTACAATTGAGTAATTGAGATAAAGAGAAGCTTATTGAGATACTATAGTTATTGAGGAAAGCTATCGAGTTATTGGGTTATTTAAACAGAGAAAGAAATTGAGTTATTGAGAAATAGAGAGAAATAGTTATTGAATACTATTGAGCATTACTTCATCTCCAAAGCTAATCTTGTGCTTAGATAGGGGAAGACCAGGCCTTTCTAACCGTAGCAGCTCAGGGTTAGGGTGAAAGATCCCAGGATTTTTTCTACCATTTGGAGAAAAGTTACCTCAGTAATTGAAGGAAAAGGAAAGAAAGAACATCTCTATGGTTTCCCAAATTGACTGTTTGTGTTGTAGCTTTATCAAGCTGTGCCGAGTCTGCCAAGGACTTTGGAAATAAATATTTTGTTGATATTCATATCTTGACTGGCTTCAGCTGCTGAAAGTATTGAGTTATTGCTTCAAAGAAAGACCCCCAGCGGTTCACCCAGATAAAGAGAGAAGCACATCTTAGTTTTAATTTTACAGTGTCTGGGTGTGACGGCACAGTGACTATGGGCAGTATATCATTACTTTAACTATGCAGATATTGCTATAATGGATCTCATTTTTAGGGAGTTTTCCTGCATGCCTTTCTTAACATCAGCATTAGGGAAATTTTGCTGACCAGTCATAGTTTCATTGTCTCTGAAATGACCCACCTTGTGAGGCTGAAGGACCGGGTTGGAAAGCTGCAGGTGATCCAGGAGAGGAAGGGGGAACCCCTCGGCCAGCCGGGCTGGAAAAAACGTTCAGAGAAATTATCAAGACCTGCAGAAGAACTAACCAAATGGAAGTCTAGTCAGAAATGGCCACCTCCGGATTGGCACCTTTCTTTGCTTAAGCCAAGGCTTCAATCTCCTCCAGGCTGAGTTCTGTGTGAAGGAAGACCTCAACTCTGCCCTCCAAGTAGAGCATGCACTTAAAACTCCTTCTGTATGTATGGCCAAATATTGTGGGTGTTTTAAACATGAGGACATTTTTGTGCAATGTATTCAGTTAGAGGTTGCCAAAATGGAGTTGTGCTCATGGTATCATTGCACAGGCAAATGTCTAGGTGGTTTCACATGGATGAGCATTGGATTGTTCACTCAATTGCATTCTTGACTGCACACTCCACTCACCACCCTGCCCTTCAACACAAGGCTCTTGCAGTCCTGAACTTCCATATCTAGACATTGATGGTATGCAAACTCTGGTGTAGCTAATAGTTGTGCAATTTGGAAAGAGACATAGAAGAATTAGAGCACAGTCACAAATCTTCTCCACCTAGACTGAGTAGAACATAAGGTGAAAGTGAGTTAACAGTGGGATGCAGTAGCAAAAAAGCCAATTTGATTCTAGGCTGTATCAATAGTGTTCCTATCGAGGGAAGTCTCTTCTGCTTTGGTCAGAACTCACTGGGTATAACCCTGTGTCCAGTTGTCAGTAGTACTTTTTAGACATGAAAAAGGTTCATGTATTCCATTTCCAATAAGACAGAGAATATCACAGGCACTTTACAGAGAGAAAAGGTAAACACACAGAGACTATATAACTACATTGGTTACACAAACAAAAAAAGGGGAGGTGGGATCATTCACATATATTCTAACACTCCTTCATCATTCATTGATTCTCCATGCATTCCCTGCAAATCTGCCATTCTGTGAAAACATCTCTTTCCATCTCTTGGAGAAAGTGGCAGGTGACCAGACCCCGCTGTCTGCCACACTTTTGGATAGTAAAAAGGTCTCTTATATAGCAATTTTCTGCTGTCGTTGTTTCAAAAAGTTGTAAATGTCAAACAGGTTGTTTTGCAGCTAAAACAAGATGATTCCATTAGTTCCTGACAGATGTTGGCTTTTCTTTCAGTAAATGGTGTCAAATTGCATTAATTTGCATCCAAGGAAACACGCATAATGGAGGAGGGCTTTGTGGAACTGTTGGGAAGAGATTTAACGAGGCAAATTGCCTCACAATCCTTACCGTTAATCTGGGGAAGAAGAATTCTGCCAGCAAAGAAGTTAATGAGGCCTTGCATGAGTTGTACCTGGAGATTGGGAGAGAATGAGGAAAACAGGATGAAAATGCAAGATACTCCACTTTGGCAGGAACAACGAAATGCAAAGAGACAGAATGGGGGACAATGCCTGGCTCGAGAGCAGTACGTGTGAAAAAGATCTTGGAGTCCTCGTGGACAACAAGTTAAACATGAGCCAACAATGTGATGTGGCGGCAAAAAAAGCCAATGGGATTTTGGCCTGCATCAATAGGAGCATAGTGTCTAGATCCAGGGAAGTCATGCTCCCCATGCGCTATTCTGCCTTGGTTAGACCACACCTGGAATATTGTGTCCAATTCTGGGCACCACAATTCAAGGGAGATATTGACAAGCTGGAATGTGTCCAGAGGAGGGCGACTAAAATGATCAAGGGTCTGGAGAACAAGCCCTATGAGGAGCGGCTTAAGGAGCTGGGCATGTTTAGCCTGAAGAAGAGAAGGCTGAGAGGAGATATGATAGCCATGTATAAACATGTGAGAGGAAGCCACAGGGAGGAGGGAGCAAGCTTGTTTTCTGCTTCCTTGGAGACTAGGACGCGGAACAATGGCTTCAAACTACAAGAGAGGAGATTCCATCTGAACATGAGGAAGAACTTCCTGAATGTGAGAGCCGTTCAGCAGTGGAACTCTCTGCCCCGGAGTGTGGTGGAGGCTCCTTCTTTGGAAGCTTTTAAACAGAGGCTGGATGGCCATCTGTCAGGGGTGATTTGAATGCAATATTCCTGCTTCTTGGCAGAATGGGGTTGGACTGGAGGGCCCATGAGGTCTCTTCCAACTCTTTGATTCTATGATTCTATGATTCAATGAAAAGTTTGGGAGGGACACCAAGAGTCTACACTGTCAAATTGGTTGCAGTTTGACACCTCTTCATCTGCCATGGCTTAATGCTATGGAATCCTGGGAAATGTAGTTGGCAAGAGAGCCTCAAGACCTTGTCAAACTATAATTCCCAGATTTCCATAGCATGGAGCTATCACAGTTAAAGTGATGTCAAACTGCAGTAATGCTACAGTGGAGATGCACCGAGATACCCAAAGCTCTTACCGAGAATGGTCCGACATCTGAGTGCTTCAAGGACAGCTGCAATCTACAAGGAAAAAGAAGACAACCAGTGCCTCTTCCCAAATAAAGAAGATTATTTATTTATACATTTATTTACAGTATTTCTATTCCATCATTCTCACCCCACAGGGGACTCAGGGTGGATTACAATGTCCATATACATGGCAAACATCCAATGCCATAGACACACAGCATATATAGACAGACACACAGAGGCTATTTAACATTCCAGCTTTTTTCATGAGGGTATTCTGGCCACCAGGGGAGCTGTTGCTTCACCGTCCATTTGTGACACTGATGAAGTACTTCCTCATTCTTTGCATGCTTGCTGGAGATTTTTATGGCGTTGTAAATTAGCCTCCCCACATAAGTGGTACCTAAATTTCCTACTTGACAGATGCAACTGTCTTTAGGGTTGCAAAGGTTGACAGCAAGCTACACAAATTGGTCGGAAGCTCACTCCAACCTGGGCTGGCTTCGAACTCATGACTTTTTGGTCAGTAGTGACCTTAATGCAGCTGACTCCCAGCCAGCTATGCCACAGTCCCAGTGATTATAAAGGTTATATAGAGTCAATGTAGGAGACAAGTGGAAACAAGTGAAAAGAAGAAGATCCATGGTAAAAAAGCAAGTCTAGATCAAAGATCTGTATGAATTATAACAGAGATACATACATAATGATCCAAGAATCCTAAAGTACTGTAAAGATGACAGCTCACAAGTGGAACTGGAGGGATATTGAAAATATTGAAAAACTGTTTAAAAATGCTTTTTCATGAGTGAAGAAACCGCAACAAAGGGTGTATCTACACTATATAATTGATGCAGTTTGATGCCACTTAACTGCCATGGAAACATGCTACAGACTCCTGGGAGCACTCTTTGGCAGAGAACGCTAAAGACCTTGGGAAACTACAACTCCCATGATTCCACAGCACTGAGGCAAAACATAGAGAGGGGTCAAACTGCATCAATTCGATAGTATAGATGCACCCAAAAAGGGAATCCTGAGCTGACTACAATTTTCACAGTTCAGAGTTTAATTTGCGGAAAATTGACACATGAGGTAGATTAGCACAACAAGCAGCCTGAGACGGAGGCGGAAATGAGAGAAGGGCCTCTCCGGATGATCTTAAGACTCGTGTTGGTTCATAGAGGAAGATAAGATTGCAAAGATAGGCAGGTACCAAACCGTTTAGGGCTTTGTAGGAAATCACCTGCACCTTGAATTGGGACCGGAAACTCATTGGCAGCCAGTGCAGCTTGCTCCAATTAGTAATTTCGCTGCCGATCTTTGCACCAGTTGCAATTTCTGGACCATCTTCAAGGGCAGCCCCAAGTAATCCAGTCTGGAGGTAACTAGGGCATGGACCACCATGGCCAAGTCAGACTTCACGAGGTATGGGAGCAGCTGGCGCAAAAGCTTTAATTGCGCCAAGGCCCTCCTGGCCACTGCCACACTTGAGCATCAAACGTCAGAGAAGGACCCCCAGACTGTGGACCTGTGTCCTCGGGGAAGTGCAACCCCGTCAAGCAAAGGTTCTTCAAAATTGCATCCTTATTCACAAGCCATGTATAAGCAAGTATCAATGGCGGTGCATTTTCATGGTAATGTTGTCCAAGTGACAATATTTGGTTCTCGTGATTAAGACAACAAAGAGTGCATCTACACAGCAGAATGAATGCAGTTGGACTCCACCTTCATGCTATATAATCTTGGGAATTTGGTGAGATAACAGCACTCTTTAGCAGACCTTGTAAAACTACAACTCCCAGGATCACATAGCATAGAGCTGTGGAAGTTCAACTGGTGTCAAACTGCATTAGTGCAGATGCACCCAAAGATGTATTTTCTTTGTGTGTGTGAAAAGGCATTAGAGAACAAAAATGGGCGATGTCTGCAGTACAACTTACTTGCCAAGTTGCAGGGAGCCAGTGATTTTGGTGGAGGTGATGGCAACTTTGGCCGATATAGTAGTCGACTGGAAAGAAAAAGAGAGAGGTAGGTTGAGGCTAGTTTGCAGGTGCATCTGCAGCTTTTAAAATGGGGCATCTGCACTGCAGAATGGTGCAGTTTGACACTGCTTTTAATGCCATGGATCAATCCTACAGAATCCTGGGAGTTGTTATCTGATTTGGAGCCAGCACTTTTAACCAGAGGAGGCTCAAGACCTTGTAAAACTCCAACTCCTTTGATTCCATAGCCTTCCTCCCTGGCACTTAAAGTGGTGTCAAACTCCTTTAATTCTGCAGTGTTGAGGCACTCGCAGAAACAGATGAAGATGAAGGAGACAATTAGTGGTTGGGAAATGTGCTGGTACAGCTGTACCAGAAGCTCCCACTTTATTTGCCTTGTATCTAGTGTTTGTTTGCATTCTGCAACAGGGTGGCTTCCTGTTAAAGTTTGCAGTTATAGGGCAGGCCACCTGTCCATCATCATTAGGTTCCTTAGTTCCGCCCCCTTTTTGGGTTTTGAGAAGAGAAGGGAGCAATTTTCAGTCAGTCACACACAAGGAAGCTAGTCTATAGGACGCAGACAGCTCGTCCCGTAGGAAAAGCTTCATTCCTCAAGATCATCCGGGGACCATCCGGTGATCATCTGGGGATCATTCAGGGAAATAGAAACAGAAGGAAAAGATCCCAAAGGCTCTGGCTGAGAGCTCACAGCCTCTCAGCCTCACAGCACCAGAGGGGAAAACAGCCCTGAAGTTCCCACAGGACAGCATTACAGAACCACGGAATTCCAGATGAAATGTCTTCAAGCCTTGGCTGGTAGGTTTACTCGATGTCCAGACGCATTTGGGATCGGTAGTAAGACCCAGACCAGCGAGGCCCAGATGATAGACAGCCTGGGAGAGATTATAAAGGGTTCTTCCTCATGCTGAGAAAGCACAGTTAATCCAAGTCAGACTAGAATAAGAAAGCCTTGAAGTGTTGTTTGAAGATTTGTTATTTGTTCCTTAATAAAGACTTTGTTGTACCATTAAAGACTCTAAAGACCATCACTTCAGGAAATCCCTAAGAATCTCTCTTTGAGGCACCCCGGCTTCCCACTGGGTTTAAAGTATACGTCCTATAGAATACAGACAATTTGTTCAGACCCAGTGCGCGACAGAACAGGAAATGTAGATGCTATGGAGGTTTGATGGAGAACTTACCACTTGCAAGATGAAGAGAGGAGCCAGAGTCGAGTTTGGGAGAATGGCAAAGGCTTGGACATCAACGTCTGGGCTCAAGGACAGAATTTCAGGCGTAATGGTCAATGATGGCGCAGCAGAAGGGGAACCCTTGAGCATCATGAGCATGTCGGGGTACAGTTTTTCCAGCTGGAGATGAAGAGCAAAGAAGACGTGTTGTTTATTGTATTGTCGAAGGCTTTCATGGCCGGTGATTAGCTAATCACCTCTCAACAAAAGATTCCCCCAGGCTCAGCTAGGCCATCAAATGCTAATGAAGGTGGCAGTTGAAACATTAACACCTAGCTCCAACAGACAAGAGTTCTTTGTCCCACCCTGGTCATTCCACAGATATATAAACCCTTTTCCTAGTTCCAACAGACCTCACTACCTCTGAGGATGCTTGCCATAGATGCAGGCGAAACGTCAGGAGAGAATGCCTCTAGACCATGGCCATATAGCCCAAAAAAACCCTACAACAACCCATATTGTTTATGTTTACACATTCAGTTGACGCTGGCCTGCATCCTATTGATGGTCCCTACAATACAATCTGCCTCTTAAGATTTGGAAAAGGTTTGAAGGGCTATCTTTGCTAGCTGGGCCAAAACTAACAAAACAAATAACAGAATAATAGGTTTAAGAAACCCCAAGGGCCATCCAGACCAACTCACTCCTATGCAGGAACACACAATCAAAGCATTCCCGACTGATGGCCATCCAGCTGAATGTCAGCAGAGAGAATGGCAAAGGACTCAACTTATTAAGGTGGGATGGATGCATGATTTATAGTTTTCCTTCCTTCCCTAGATGCATTGCACACCGGACTGATTGTCTCAGAGGCAAGCTAGAAAAATAAACCCATACATAGCAGAGTGCTTATCAGTTGTCAGCAGAGAGTAACTGCCGACTGATCTTGTGCTGCTCACAGTTTCAGAAAAATCTGATTCAGTTTTCATCCAAACTCACAGGAGGCTTTTAATCTTGACATTTTGCTCTATGTACAAATATGTTGTGACTCAGCTGGAACCACAGACACAGACTGATAGTGTTGTGACTCAGATGGGGTCTCATAGTGACTCTGACGAGGATGATGGGATTCAGGTTCACACTCAGGTTTACAATGTTCCTGTTGTAGACAATGAGGAACAGGGTGTGCAAGTTCAGTTTCCCACAGCAGGGAATGATGTTTTTGATACTGAAACTAGCCAGGTGCCAATTGACTCAGAAAAGAAGGACAGTTCTCAGCCTGAGAGTAGGCAGGTAAATGGAATGTTGATGGGCAGGAATGTTGATGGGCAGGCTCAAATCCAACCTTAAAAACTCTGCCATAGACACTGAGAACTGGGAAGCCCTGGCCCTTGAGCGCTCCAGCTGGAGGTCAGCTGTGACCAGCAGTGCTGTAGAATTTGAAGAGGCACGAATGGAGGGTGAAAGAGAGAAACGTGCCAAGAGGAAGGCACGTCAAGCCAACCCCAACGGGGACTGCCTTCCACCTGGAAACCGATGCCCTCACTGCGGGAGAAGATGCAGGTCAAGAATAGGGCTCCACAGCCACCTACAGACTCACAAGAATTCTGATCCTGGAAGACTACCCTATTCGGCCAACGAGGGATCGCCTAAGTAAGTAAGTAGGCAGGAAGGCAACCAGTCTGACACTAACGAGCAGCCTGACCTTGAGGAAACGGGAATCTTAGATCGGGCTGATCGTTTGGAATTCAGAGTTCGAAGGAGTGTGAGAATAGCCAGCAAGAAGGAGGTCAGAGGCCAAAGAAATGCTTTCATTTGCTTAATTCGGAAAAATGTTGCACTCGCAGTGCTCAAGCGGTTGTATTTCAGTGTCAATGTAGTAGTAGTAGTGCAATATAGGTTAGGAACCACTGGTGTAAACATTAGGAGGAGCTTCTTAACAGTAAGAGCTGTTCAGCAGGGGACTGTGGTACGTGTCTCTTTCTCTTGTGGTTTTAAAGCAGAGGCTGGATGGCCATCAATCGGGAGGGCTTGGATTGGTTTCCCCCACAAGACAAAGGGGATTGAACTGGGTGGTTTTTAAGGGTCTCTTCCAGCTCTAGGATTCTATGCTTCTAACCCATTTCCCTTTGAAAGGCCTGAAATTGGCAAAACAGAGCAGGTAGCTTATTACATCAATGCTGTTGGCTTTATCCTGTATTGAAATTGCCAGATGGAGGAAAAATCCTCGGCTGAGCAACCCCATTCTAAGAAAAACTGACGCGTAAACTCTAATGGCTGGAGACTTAGTAAGGAAGAAATATTTTTGGATATCTGGCTTGCTTCAATGTTTTCCGTAAATGAGGATTCTTTGCCATCTGGCCCTCCAGATCATCACATTAAGTACCAGGGAAATGCTTTAACGCTCTTTTGTGCAGTTTTAATTTGACTGGCTGCATATGGAGGAAATATTCCATACTTTTAATCTGCTGCACAATTCCTTGTTGCAGTTGCTAGAATCAGGAGGCCACTCTGGGGCATTTGGATCTGCAAAATGATTGTTAATGTCTTACGACTGTGGTTTGCAAATTTGTTTGTTTCTTTTCCTTTTTTCCAACCCCATTCTTGTACTTTTGTTATCACTGGAGAACAAGCCCTATGAGGAGCGGCTTAAAGAGCTGGGCATGCTTAGCCTGCAGGAGAGAAGGCGGAGAGGAGACATGATGAGGACCAAGAGGTGAGAGGAAGTCATAGGAAGGAAGGAGCCGGCTTCCTTTCCACTGCCCTGGAGACTGGGATGCAATGGAACAATGGCTTCAAAGTTCTGGAAAGAGATTACCCCTGAACATTAGAAAGAACTTCCTCACTGTGAGAGAGAGCTGTTCAGCAGTGGAACTCTCTGCCCCTGGAGTGTGGTGGAGGCTCCTTCTTTGGAGGCTTTGAAACAGAGGCTGGATGGCCATCTGTCAGGGGTGATTTGAATGCAATATTCCTGCTTCTTGGCAGAATGGGGTTGGACTGGATGGCCCAGGAGGTCTCTTCCAACTCATAAGGTGAACTTCCTGACTGTGAGAGCCGTTCAGCAGTGGAACTCCATTCTGTCAAGAAGCAGGAATATTGCATTCAAAGCACCCCCACAGATGGCCATACAGCCTCTGTTTAAAGCCTCCAAAGAAGGAGCCTCCACCACACTCTGGGGCAGAGAGTTCCACTGCTGAACAGCTCTCACAGTCAGGAAGTTCTTCCTCATGTTCAGGTGGAATCTCCTTTCTTATAGTTTGAAGCCATTGCTCCATTGCGTCCTAGTCTCCAGGGAAGCAGAAAACAATCCCTATGACTTCCCCTCACATACTTGTACATGGCTATCATGCTCCTCTCAGCCTTCTCTTCTCAGGCTAAACATGCCCAGTTCCTTAAGCCAATCCTCATAGGGCTTGTTCTCCAGACCCTTGATCATTTTAGTCGCCCTCCTCTGGACACATTCCAGCTTGTCAATATCTCTCTTGAATTGTGGTGCCCAGAATTGGACACAATATTCCAGATGTGGTCTAACCAAAGCAGAATAGAGCATGGGGAGCATTACTTCCTTAGATCTAGACACTATGCTCCTATTGATGCAGGCCAAAATCCCATTGGCTTTTTTTGCCGCCACATCACATTCCTGGCTCATGTTTAACTTGTTGTCCACGAGGACTCCAAGATCTTTTTCACACGTACTGCTCTCGAGCCAGGCACCCATTCTGTATCTTTGCATTTCGTTTTTCCTGCCAAAGTGGAGTATCTTGCATTTGTCCCTGTTGAACTTCATTTTGTTAGTTTTGGCCCATCTCTCTAATCTGTCAAGATCGTTTTGAATTCTACTCCTGACCTCTGGAGTACTGGCTCTCCCTCCTAATTTGGTGTCGTCTGCAAAATCAGCACCGTCCTTGGACCTAAACACCAGAAATTGGAACAAAAGGAGATGGAGGCCAGGACTTCCTCACCTGTGGAATGAAGGCTCCAAAGGAAGATGTGTTCAGGTGGATTTTGAACTCCTTGGGAATCTGGAGGCAAAAAGAGGTATTCATGAAGTAGTACGATGTGTACAATTTATGAAAACAGGGGAAATTATCTCCCATGGTGTTCCCTAATTTTCTCCTTCATCTCCTACTTTATAACAGGACCTAGTTGAACATTATGGTTTCTTCCATTGCTTAGAGATGCTCCAGAATTATATTCATGTGGCTTGCTCATATTTTTTAATGTTAAATAGAGAGGAAGAGGACTCTGTTGTGCAAGGATGATGGGGGATGATGCCCCTTCCTCCCCTCCTTTACCATATCATCGGTGATGGTGAAGTTCATCGCTCCTGCCCTGTAGTAGACATTGCCAGCCGTGTTGAAGAAGAAGGTGGAGAGGCCAAAATACAACATGCGGTCATGATCCAGCGGGAAATCCAAGGCCGGCGGAGGGAAAGGAGGAAGGGAGCGGTGGGTCAAGGAGAAGAATTCACCCTGCGGAGCAAGAAAACCAAAGATGGAGGAAACATCTGAATGAAGGACCCCAAGTATTGGCCAAGATGTCTGTCCAATTGGTTCCACCTCCTTTTTCTCCGTCATATCCTATTTTTGCATGTAATTTGAGCCTTGCCTGAATCTTCTTTCATGGGATGACTACATGGGCTCTACACTGCAGAACAAATACAGTTTGACACTTTAGCTGCCATGGATCAATGCTATGGAATCATGGGAGCTGTCATTTTACAAGTCTTTCACAATTCTTGCCTACAACAACAACAACAACAACACTTCATTTATAACCCTCCCTATCTCCCCGAGAGCAGACACCTCAACAAACTACAACTGCCAGGATTCCAACTGCGCCCGTACCTTGGGAAGTCTGACTTGGCCACGGTAGTCCACGCTCTGGTTACATCCCGTTTAGACTACTGCAACGCTCTCTACGTGGGGTTGCCTTTGAAGATGGCTCGGAAGCTCCAATTAGTCCAACGTTGGCAGCCATGTTACTAACAGGAGCGGAGCACAGGGAGCATACAACTCCTCTGCTGCACCAGCTCCACTGGCTGCTGATTTGCTACCGGGCTCAATTCAAAGTGCTGGCGTTGGCCTTTAAAGCCCTAAACGGTTCTGGCCCAACTTATCTATCCGAACGTATCTCGGCCTATCAGCCCACCAGGACCCTAAGATCTTCTGGGGAGGCCCTGCTCTCTATCCCGCCTGCTTCACAGGTGTGGCTGGCGGGGACGAGAGACAGGGCCTTTTCTGTGGTGGCCCCTCGGCTGTGGAACGCCCTTCCCATGGAGGTAAGATCAGCCCCCTCGCTGATGGTGTTCAGAAGAAGATTAAAAACCTGGATGTTCGAACAGGCATTTGGTTAATCGGTGCAATGAATGTGATGATTACAGGAATGGTGATAAGGACGACGAAACTGGATCATGATTTTAGTTATGAGATGCATTGGGTTGTTATTGCTGTGTCAATATTGTGTATTATGTTTTTGTGGTTTTAAATTGTATATTGTTGATTGTTGTACCTTTGTTGTAAACTGCGTTGAGTCGCCGTTAGGCTGACAAACTGCGGTATACAAGTAAAGTAAATAAATAAAGTAAATAATTGAACCATGGCAATTAAAGTGGTATTAAACTGCATTAATCCTACAGTGTAGATGCACCCCAATTCACCATTCTAGCCATATTTTGACTACTGCTAACTACCCCTGGAAATATATTTTGCACACAGATTCTCCACCATTTCTTAACATGGAAAACTACATCTCAAATATCTCCGACCTAATTTTTTGAATCACTTGAAGGCAAGCAACATACTTATATACTGCAACACACTCTACGTGGGGTTGCCTTTGAAGACTGTGCAGAAACTTCAACTAGTCCAACGGGTGGCATCCAGATTGCTTACTGGGCCAACACATACAGAGAGCTCACTGCCCCCTGTTTTGTTAACTCCACTGGCTGCTGGTCCATCTCCGAGCACAATTCAAAGTGCTGATCTTGGCCTATAAATCCCTATACGACTCTGGCCCAGCTTATTTGTCCAAACATTCCCAAATGTACCTTGTAGTTTAAGATCCACTGAGGAGGCCCTGTTCTCGGTCCCACCGACCTCGCAAATGCATGTGGTGAGGACGAGGGACAGGGCCTTCTTGGTGGTGGCTCCCCGGCTTTGGAACTCCTTCCCACTAGAGATTAGATCTGCTCCCTCCCTCCTGACTTTCAGGAAACTAATAAAGACGTGGCTCGGGAACGTGGCTTTCGAGGACTGATCCCATAACCTTCGTCCACATGGAAGGAGGAAGATGAACTGTGACTATGACTGTGATTGTATGACGATTTGGCTTGGGTAATGAGATGATGATATTTTACTGTACTATTTTAATCTGTAATGTTGATGTACTTTGTTTTTGTATATTATTGTAATTTGCATATATGCTGTAAACCGGCCTGAGTCCCTCGTAGAGGTGAGAAGACCGGTATAGAAAACTTCTAAATAAATAAATAAATTCTACATTGCAGAAGCGCCCTAACAATGAACGTCAGCCACCCATCCCTTTTATCCTACCTTCAATTTCAGGTCCACAGAACTATTTGTAGCAACCGGAGGCTCGACCAGGGAGTAATCGATTCCAGAGATCTTGTCGATTTCTGCTGTGACTAGCAAGGGGGGAAAAGGAAGAAGAGGAAGTGAGAAGGAAGGGCAAGAGGACTAATGGGACAAAGGACACTGGGAAGAGGAAAAGAGATGCTCTTGGAGTCCCAAACCCCCCAAACCCAACTGTATGCATGTGAAGCAAAGAGAACTTGGAGCAATCTCTGCTAAGCAGATGATCCTTGTCTTCTCCATCCCTTTAAGTCCTTACCTGTCCTGAGGATCTGTCTACTTACCTGGCAAAGATTGCAGAAAAGGTTGCAGCTGGGAGCTGACTGAACTGCTCACCTCGTCGCAGATCTGGGAGAAAGGAGGAATTAAAATAAGCAGAGCGAAATCGTACCCAAATAGAACCTCACATCTGCGGATTCTCTTTAGAGCCATAGAATCAAAGAGTTGGAAGAGACCTCATGGTCCAACCCCATTCTGCCAAGAAGCAGGAAAATTGCATTCAAAGCACCCACAACAGATGGCCATCCAGCCTCTGTTTAAAAGTTTCCAAAGAAGGAGCCTCTACCACATACTGGGGCAGAGAGTTCTACTGCTGAACAGCTCTCATAGTAAGGAAGTTCTTCCTCATGTTCAGATGGAATCTCCTTTCTTGTAGTTTGTAGCCATTGTTCCCTAGTCTCCAGGGCAGCAGAAAACAAGCTTGCTCCCTCCTCCCTATGACTTCCTCTCGCATATTTATACATGGCTATCATGTCTCCTCTCAGCCTTCTCTTCTTCAGGCTAAACATGCCCAGCTCTTTAAGCCGCTCCTCATAGGGCTTGTTCTCCAGACCCTTGATCATTTTAGTTGCCTTCTGAGTACCTAAGCAACATCTCTGTCTTACACCTTTGTTTTCTGAGGCCCTTACCTTTGTTTGATATGGGACTGAACATTTGTTGTTGTTTATTTGGTCAGTCGCTTCGGACTCTTCGTGACCTGATGGACCATCCCACGTCAGAGCTCCCTGTCGGCCGGGGCCACCTCCAGGGTCTCCTTTAAGGTCAATCCAGTCCCTTCAAGGAGACCATCCACCCACCTTGCACTTGACTGGCCCTTCTTCCTTTATTCCTTCCATTTTCCCCAGTATAATTGTCTTCTCTAAGCTTTCCTGTCTTCTCATGATGTGGCCAAAGGGTTCATCTTTGGCTCTAATCTCCTTCCGTCCAGTGAGCAGTTGGGTTTTCTTTCCTGGAGGATGGACTGGTTGGATCTTCTCACTATCCAAAGCACTCTCAGAATTTTCCTCCAACACCACAGTTCAAAAGTGTCTCTGTTCCTTCAATCAGCCTTTCCTATGGTCCAGCTCTCACATCCATAGGTTGCTACGAGGGATACCATTGCTTTAACTATGCAGATCTTCGTTGCCAGTGTGATGTCTCTACTCTTCACTCTTTTATCTAGATTGGTCATTTCTCTTCTCCCAAGAAGGAAACATTTGTATTGTCGAAGGCTTTCATGGCCGGAATCACTGGGTTCTTGTAGGTTTTTTCGGGCTATAGGCCATGTTCTAGAGGCATTTCTCCTGACGTTTCGCCTGCATCTATGGCAAGCATCCTCAGAGGTTGTGAGGTCTGTTGGAAATAGGAAAAAGGGGTTTATATATCTGTGGAATGACCAGGGTGGGACAAAGGACTCTTGTCTGCTGGAGCTAGGTGTGAATGTTTCAACTGACCACCTTGATTAGCATATAATGGCCTGACAGTGCCTGGAGATATATAATAGATATATAAACCCTTTTTCCTAGTTCCAACAAACCTCACTATCTCTGAGGATGCTTGCCATAGATGCAGGCGAAACGTCAGGAGAGAATGCCTCTAGACATCTATGGCCATATAGCCCGACAAAACCTACAACAATCTTCTGATTTCCTGAAGATTTAAGCTTACCAAAAGCTATCAATATATCTTTACTCTTTGTCTCCCAGACTTTGGCTCCGAAGTTGACTGGTCCTTTACTCTTGACCAATTCTCAGCTGCCCTTCTTCCTTACCAACCAATCCTGGTACGGATTTACTTAGGAAGGTATTTCCAGAAACAGGGAGCGATCATGGTGAAGACCCTCTCTCTTGTTCCCACCGGTTTGTGATGGGGTGAGACCCATTCTCAACAGATCACAGTGCACGGGATGGTTTATATAGGGAGATGTGGTCAGACAAGGGTCTCCTTTGCCAGACTGATTGAGAAACGGTTTGCCATCATTGCCCTTCTTTGAGGCTGAGAGAGTGTGACTCCTCGAGGATGACCCAAGTGTGGGATTTGAACCCTGGTCCCCAAAGAGACTCTGATGCCTCACCATGACCTTACCTTGTTTTCCATGGTATTCCTGAATGCCGATTCAATGTTTTGGTGGAAAAGATTGTACAGCCAACTGGGGAGGGAAGGAAAGCAGAGCCGGGTCTTAGAGTTCATCCAAATTATTCTCAAAAAGCAAAATATTTCTAACTTTCTTGCAAATACAAGTTGAGTTACCCTTGTTCAAAACACTTGGGAACAGGTTTATGACTTTGGTTACCTTTCTATATATATCCATAATAAAGTATCTTAGCTCCCTTCCACACAGCCATATACAATCCACATTGAACTGGATTATATGGCAGTGTGGACTCAGATAACACAGTTCAAAGCAGATATTGTGGATTATCTGCCTTGTTATTTGAGTTATATGGCTGGGTGGAAGGGCACTTTGAGATACGACCTATAAACATGGAATTCATTACCCTCTTAAAAATACATAATGCAAAATACTTATGGTTCCTAACATTACCTTCTGCATGAAACAGAAACACTATTTTCTGCAGAAAACAGAAATTTTATTTTTCATGCAGAACAGAAGTATTGTTTTATGCGCTATGCTACTCTGCTGCTGAGTACGCATGCCCAGTGTGGAACACATCTCGCCACACTAAAACAGTGGATGTGGCTCTTAATGAGACATGCCGCATTATCACGAGGTGTCTGCGCCCTACACCAATGGAGAAATTACACTGTTTAGCCGGTATTGCACCACCTGACATCCGCCGGGAAGTAGCAGCCAACAGTGAAAGGACCAAGGCAGAGATATCTCCAGCTCATCCCCTGTTTGGGTATCAGCCAGCACGTCAATGACTTAAATCAAGAAATAGTTTTCTAAGATCTACAGAGACACTTGCTGGAACACCTCAGCAAGCGAGAGTCCAAAAGTGGCAGGCTCAAACCCAGAACCTCAACCCATGGCTGATATCAGATGAGAAACTCCTTCTGGGCACACAGAAGACGGGCGACTTGGAAGGCGCTGAACAGACTGCGCTCTGGCACCACGAGATGTAGAGGCAACCTTAAGAAATGGGGCCACAAAGTGGAGTCCACAACATGCGAATGTGGAGAAGAGCAAACCACTGACCACCTGCTGCAATGCACCCTGAGCCCTGCCACATGCACCATGGAGGACATTCTTGCAGCATCACCAGAGGCACTCCAAGTGGCCAGATACTGGTCAAAGGACATTTAAACAACCACCAAGCTTGCAGACTTTGTGTTTTTTTTTTTTGTTCTGTTAGAAATGTAATACATTGGGCTGGTTGCCCTTGACACGATAAATAAATATAAATAAATATGACTAGTAGAGAAATGTGGTTTTCTGTGCAGAAAATGCTGTTTTCTTTGCAGGAATTGTTATCTTCTGCACATAAACGGGAATTCATCATAGAATATATCCCAAATTACATGTGTTCTATTTGAAGAGTTTCCCATAGCAGGAAAAAATGATAAGACCGCCTATTACAACCTTCAAAAACAAAATGAGCAAAGGATTGTATCCCCATTGAATTGTGATACTGTGGAAACAAATATTGCCTTCGAGCTGATATGAGCGGGGTAGAAATAATGCAAATAAATAGGCTTCTGCTTATGGGATGCATTGCACAATGCCCATATCTATGCATTATGTTTGTTTATGTGCAAAATATACAA